CCCCTCTCACCTCACTCTCTGGCTGGCAGGTGGATCACACTCCTATCACGGTTCCATTCACTGGCTGGCAGACACGGATCTCCCCCCGCCCCCTCCCCCCTTCTGCGTGTACCACTCACACACATACTCCCACACACACACACACACGCGGTCACATGCACACGTGTGCTCGTGCCGACCAGCTCATTTCCGCAGTTCAAGGCTCTGAGGGCTTTGCTATAAATGCCACCATCAGGAACCCACACTACTACCCTATCAACGGCAGACATTAGAGGCTAAGTAAGGGTCTTTCAAGAAGCAACACGCCAGAAATAAAATGATTGAGAAGAAAATTCTACACAGTTTTTGTACCTTGGCTCTTACCATGACTAAAGTTCAAAGAATGTAAAGTTGAGACAATCGTTCAAGTAGAATTTGTAACACAATGATTTTGTCTTATGAGACAATTATCCCCGATTTAAAAAAGACCGATACATTTGCTATTTAAAAAGTGAAACTGTTGACATTCCCCCAGGGTCACCAGAAAAACTGTAACAGACAAGATAGATTAACCTTACCTGTGAGTTGAAGCCGGTGTGCAGGTGTAACCAAGGTGGGTGTAACGCCAAGCTGTCCAAACACTCCAACCGGACCGGACTGTGATCGTAGGTCCGCTGTGGTCATTTTATTTATCCGATTTTATCTGCCAGCGGCCCGGGCCGCGGCCCCGCGCCGCGCGCAGCCCGCCGGAACCAAAGAGGTGTTAAAGTGCTAATTGAGAATCACACTCGGCCGGTGCACAGCTGTAAACAAGCCGAGGCGAGACGACTAACCTCCAGCCAGCCTGGCCCGGCACCTGGCGAGTTAACACACTGTCTTCTCGCGTAATTGCACCTGTACATAACGACAGCTTTTCCCCCCTTCTTTCCTGTTGTCATCCGACAGAATTTCGCGGAAGAGACCGAAAATAAAACCAAACATTTCACAGGTAAATCTACAATCAACGGACACGACGCGGGGCACTGACTGGATCCACTCGCAATCTCAACCGACACCGAATTTCTCATTTCGGAAGGCAGTCTTCTTTGAGCATCAGTTTGGCGCTAGATTTGAATCGATTTCTAGGCGCGTGATGATGCAGAGAAGGCGGAACTCGTTGCCATCGCCTGCACTGGAACACACTGTCACCGTTGGGTGGCAGGATTTATGTTCTCATTTCCCTTCCTTTTCCCGCTCACGGTCACCACCGACTCGACTTTGCCATCTCACTCGCACAGACACATCACGCTGCACGCGAAGCGATTCTAGCCTGGAAAAGGCGGCCCTGAGGATTTCTCATAGCTGCAGTCATGGCTTTATTTGCACTCGCCCTTGTTGTCCTTTCTTGGCTTTTCTGTTATTTTGTATTCATTTCATAATGTTCGTATTTCTGTCTGCAAGTGTCAGGTACGTTGAAAATGTGTAGTCGTTTGTTTTCCTGTTTTGTGCTTTCTATCTAAAAAAATTGAACTTCAAAGCAAATTTTTGCTGTGTGTGAATGGAGTTTTCTGTTGAGGTTATGGGTAAATTGTGTTGTTTCATCGAAATGTTGGATTTGTTTGTGAGGATTAGATCTTTGCATAACGAAGTTTCGGTCATGCTATGCAGTTTGAGGTAGTGTGGTGGAGTTGAATCATCTAGTTAATTTTATTGTCTTGTTCAGTTGGGCATGTTATATTTTCATTGCGTCAAGTTTAGGAAAGAGAATGGTAAACATACAGCCAGTGAATTCAAATATTTCATTTTTTTCATGCTCTGATATATGTTTTCATCAAAACAATGTGATGTTCAAACCCTTAAAATCTGCATGATTGTACATCTTACAACTAATAAGGTATTCCGGCGAACGGGTAAAGAAGAACAGCACGAATAACAAGGTGCCCCGTGATTCGTCGCCCGGTCTCCCCCTCCACTTGAGCGACGAATCACAGGCCCCTTTGTTATTCGTGCTGTTCTTCTTTTCCAGTTCTCCGGAATACCTTATTGGCATCTACGTCAACTGGTCCTCACTTGCTAAGTGACACCGAAAAATCACTATTCTGTTTTGTGAACCTAATAAGAGTATACCGGCCTCAACAGTAGCTCAGCCAGCCAATTACTTTGTGCCGCAGGTGTGAACACATTAAATCCTCTCAGGCTGCCAGCCCCAGACCCGGGCCCGGCTGGAGGGATGCAGTACACACTTCGGGCAGTATATTAGAGCTGGTCGACGGAGCGCGGCGGGGCGGCGGCGGCCCGGCCAGTAAGGAGGCGTATTTTGGCCATTCCGCTTTGCATGGAAATGACCCTCTGTATTTCGCGTGCCGGCTCGCTGTGTTAGTTTGGCTCGCTCGAGCATCGCGCGTCCGGGCCAGAGGGGGGGCTCCCAGACCGCCGGCCTGTAGCAGCACATACAGAGAAAACATACGACTTCATCGCGGCGAAAGTAAAGAGAATGGGCGTGATATTCAGAGAGTGCGTTCCGATCGGTTCCGATATCGAATCGATAACCCGATGCTCCTACCTGAGGCAAGTCATCGGCTTTGGTGACGGCGCCGATGGACGACGCGGGAACCGGACGGGGGCGTGTCACGGCCCTCGATGAAAAATTTAGCGGTAGGACGCGCGACCGATCCGGAGCATTCGCAGGTGTTGTGCTCTCGTGCGCGTTCAGTGTATCGGCGCCGTAATTAAAGGGGAAATTAACGTACAATACACCGTC